TTCGGTTCTTGGTCTAGGCCCGAGACCCGACCCAAACCCATCGGTTCTCGATTCGGGTACCCGTTCGGGTATTTAATTTTTGAAGAACCGCTCGGTTCGGTTCGGGTTCGGTTCGGTCCGGTTCGGTTCGGGACTTTTGGACACCCCTAGAGCCAAGAGGGGGATCAAAATGGACTCATAAGAGCCAAGCTCCAATGGATAGATAATGTTTTCAAATTGGCCTACTCTTGATCAATTGAAACTTATCTATTAATTCCGATTCATTCCACCAAACGGTGATGAATTAAGTCATTAGCACTTTAAAGAATTTGAGCTAGCAACTACAGGTACATTACTTCCTCCTAGATGATTCGTTTGACGATCAAGTAGAGTCTTTTTCCTAACGGTGATGAATTAAGTCATCAATGCGGTCCTGTTCAATATGTGCATCGAACACATCATTATTCTTATTTTCAGAATCTAGACAAATTTCAATAAGAATAATATAATCTTATCAACATAAAGCGTCCAAGTTTTATATACCGATTATGAATGATATATTTTGATCACATCATAAATTTTGTCCGTCCATATTTTACACCTCAATTACAATTTGTAGTATTTTGCATGATCATGGAAACTCAAATTTAATAGGTGAATAAACGATAAAATCGAATAATAATTTATAATGTTGTTTACAAAATACTATTATAAGGGCATTAAACTAACACGTTTTTATTGATTATTGCATAATATTTTAGTTGGGTAGATAATTTCGTTTGAGCTCAGATTAGAATTTGCTGTCTTGATTTTGATTACATCCCGATAGTCCTGCTATTGGTTTTCTTGGAAATCAAACTTTACGCTATTTTTGCTATTTTTCATACGTTTTTGTATGCTGATGTTGTCTTTGAACTGTTTCTGGAAGGAAGAAAATTTGTTCTAATATGGTTTAGGTTCAGGTTTTGTAATTTATTGAATCCGTTATTATTAATGCAGTTTTTTTATGGATATTGCATGATATTTTAGTTGGGTAAATAATTTCTTTTGCTAAGCTTAGACTGTTTTAGTTTAGCTGTCTATTGCATATGAGGTTTTAGGGGTAGTCTTTTATTATTTTTCCTTTGTTGTAGTTATGTGTAGTTCCCTTTTCTCAAACAAATTTCGATGTTAATATGGTTTGAGAAAAGGAATTATGTTGTGGATTCAATGATGGTAGTAGGTAGACATTTTTCTCTTGTATTGAAACGAAAATCTCAGGCCTCTTTATCTGATCAGAACTTAGTGTTGTAGTAAAATCTGATAGGAAAGTAGACTAACAATCTATTAGGCATGGATATGGACGTGGAACTCAGAGATGGCACAGCACATACTATCAATGAAATACTATGAAATTTTACATTTATATGCTATATCGTTATATTTATACCTTTTTGTTTGTCAATATAATTAATACTCATTTCTTTAGGCTTTGATTAGAATATGCCAGCGTTGTGGCTAATGTATGTTGAAAAATCAACAATAAAATAGGGCACTTGCCATGTTGTGTGTTGGTTGAACATTTGTCGGACATAAAATACGTGTCAGACACTAGTACTGCACCCTTACAAGAGTTTCCATGTTTCAAAACTTACAATCTATGAGAGTTTATCATATATGTTTGTTCTTAACCATGGAAATGCTCAAGAATGAAAATTTTCAGATGTCCTATTGTTTAGGATAACTTCCTGCTGCTTTGGATTCTTCTTGTGGTTCTGATTACAATTGATATTCCTTCAAATACTCTCTTGTATACAAATTGAGATAGGACAATGTCTAATCATAAATTACTCCTAACTATAAGGATGAGAAAAATTGTCAAACAACAAAATTCTGAAGTTTTGGTCTCTCTTATACAAGGCTTCATCAACCTTTTCTTCTTGACATCGTCTTACAGGAAATGTCATTGTGTCCTAAAAAATGGAAGTTTTGTTTACCGTTCATGACGTTTCCACTTTTCTGGTTGACAAATTCACAGCTATTTATCATTATTTCTATTGCTATTACCAGGTGAAGACAATGATTATCACAAAGCAATACCGCTGCATACATTCAGTAAGTTGTCGTTGCACAAAAGGGCATCTTACCGAGGAAGTGATATTCCTGGTTTTTGATCAACTAAATTGGAACCCTAAGTTGGTTGCAACACTTTCTTGTGTATGCAAATGGTTTGACGATCTTGCAAAACGAGTCCTCTGGAAAGAGTTTTGTAAGACACGAGCTCCAAAAATGATGCTTGATTTGCAATCCAATGGAAGTCACAATATTGATGGTAACTGGAGAGCACTCGGCAAGCTACTCATATACTGTTCCGGATGTGACGAGGGTGGCTTATTCAATAACATTCTCATTCCTGGCCACTTTGTGTACAAAACAAGGTTCTCAAAAACATCGGGGAAGAGCTTTTTATTGCCACAGTGTAAAACTGATGTTTTATACGTGTCTGATCCCTGTGAACATCTCGGCCAAGGGGATGATGGGGATGTTGGATTTTTCCGAGGAATATTTAAATCTTTTGCGACATCAAAGGTCAGGAAATTGCTGATTAACAGGAGCGCACCACTGCATCCTACAGGGGTATGTCCATTTTGTAAGGCGAAGTGGTGGAACATGCTGAGAGCCAAGATGATACCAGCAAGTGCAAGCTGTAGGTTGGGTGCTTATGAGGATTCCATTGAGTATTATGTGTGCCTTAATGGGCATGTGCTTGGGATTTGTACCCTTTTGCCCTTGTCTGATACAGATGAAGCATCAGAGGAGTGACGTATTAGTGATCACAAAGTGCATCTTTAATCAGGTTTGTTTTCTCCTAACGTTCTCATTTCTAAATTTGTAGATGGCACTCTCTTTTTTTCCTTCTGCCTTTTCTCCCCATTATACTTGTACATTGTCCTTTCAGTTTTGGGCGGGGGTTGTCATATAAGATCATGCGAGAATGTGAATTTGATGATGTCATTACACTCTCTTATACTTCTACATGTTGAACTTGGCTAGGTTAAGCTCCTGTAGTGCCTCTCATCCTCTTACTTTACATGACGTTGAATTTTTTATAAACTTCTGCTTATGCTTCTCCTCAACTTCGTGTGTTCATAAATTAGATGTTTTCATAATGTCATCCAATCATATTTCTACACGTTGACCTTGTTTCGTGGGGCGCCTTTCTTTCTAACACATGAAGGGGGCACCATGAGGTAGTAGACTAGTAGTATGTTTTGCTAGACTAAATTCTATCTTTTCTTGATTGTTACGACGAAAGACAATTCAAATACAATTTAAAGAAGGCTTCACAACAAATAATTTGAATGCATTGAAAATACATTTTTAATTGATGAAAGCAAACAATTACAATTGTTGTTATAGGGGGTGAACACTAGTTAACTTGATCAGACTTTTGAATACCTTATACCCCAGTATCTTGGTGTGCAAGAATAGCTTCAACAAACCTCTTTGTATCTTTTTTCAATATAAATTCTGATCGATTCTACTTATTTCTGGATGCGTCATCGTCTGCAAAATATGGTTTAAGTTCATAGACATGGAGTACTGTGAATTTTGCACCATGAAGGGAGTTCTACTATGTGTGACTTTTTCAATCCGCATCACGATAGGTAATGGCCCTATATATTTTGGCACCAATCGGGAACATTTCCATGTTGATAGTTTATAAACATTTCTGTTGGGAAGTTTCACCATCACCATACCTCCTACATTAAATTCAAGGAAACGACGTTTTAAATCATTGGACTTTTTGTATCATTTATGTGCTTTCTCAAGATAGTTTCGAGCAATTTTAATATTTCGTTTCCATTCCTGAGAGAAGTTTTTAGCTTGAGAGTACTTGGTACTTTGATCAATATCCAAAGTATATAGGAGTAACGATTGCTGGCCGGTGACAAACTAAAAGACTTACTCGTGAAAGAATTCTTTTGGTGGCTAAGCCCGCCCGTATTTGCTACATGATTACCAGAACCTGAATGAAACTCTAGCACAAAGTTGACTCTGAAAGTTCATACCAAAAGGCTTGCTTGCTCAAGAGTTTTGGTTGAGACATGAAGTGATTAACAGCGGTATTATCAGTCTTCACAATTAATGGAGGCCAAGTAGGTAGTGACTCCATACTCTTAAGATAACGGACTATCGACAACTCCCAGTGCACCAAGTAATGGCTTTCTGCATTATTTAGCTTTCGACTTTTATATGCGATCATATGCCCTTCTTGCATGAGGACTCCTCCAAGGGCAAAATCTAAAGCATCTGATTGAGTTTTGTACGATTTAACCCCTATTTGTCTCCTATTCTTTCTCAACTCTTTTTTCTACATACTCAATTTCAACTACACATTCACACAATAAAATATTCTACACAAACTCAAAAAATTTTCCTACTTTTTAACCACACGTTCTCCAAATAATACTATTTAAAACAATATTTTCTGTAAAAATGGGCACCAAACAAGGGCTTAGTCATATAAGGCAAGGCCAACACCATATTCGTCCATATAGACTTCTTCAATTACTCAAAAAGTAGCTTGGCATTGTACCTACCAATCCCAAGCTTTTTCCTTCTTCGTTAATTTGGTTGAGAGTAGTACAATTTCCGAGTACCATTTCACAAATCTTCAATAAGAATAACATAATCCAAGAAAGGAACATACATTATGTACGTTCTTTGGTAGTTGTCAATGACAAAGTTTGGCCTCAATGATTTTCCCTTGAAGGATTGCTTGTATTATATAAGAAGAGAATTATATAACCATGGTAAGAAAATTATACAACTATGGTAACAAATATAGTAAATACAAAAACCATTTAAGGATAATAATGTAATCATAATATATAATCTTAGTCAATCTTAGACACCCCCCTCAAATTGATGCTAGATGATCAATAGCATCAATTTGTTGACAAGAAACTGATGTCGCTGTTGAGTCATTGCCTTGGTAAATAGACCAGTTGTTTGAACTCCAGCTGTAATGTGCGGAAGAGTAATAAGGCAACCATCATAAGCCTCACGTATAGAGTAACAATCCACTTCAATGTGCTTAGTGTACTCATTGAACATAGGTTAGCGGCAACTGAATGGCACTAGTGTTGTCAGTATGAAGTAGAGTAGGCTCAAGCTGAGGGCAATCAACAATAGAAAACCTCAAAAACAAACAATCTTAAAGCTGACAGAAGACATTGCATGATACTAAAATTCAGTGGAAGGTTTAGAGATACGATCTTCTAACTTCACAACGAAATGAGCACTCTCTCAAGAAGCATATACCAACCTGTAATCGACCGACGAGTATCCGCACGTCCATCTTAATCCGCATTACTATAACCTACTAGCTGAAGAGAAGAATTTGAAGGAAAGAAAAGACCCTTATCAAGTGTACCCAGCAAGTATCTAATAATGTAACAAATTGCTGCTAAGTGAACGTAAGCATACATAAACTGATAAACTTGTTGTACCGCAAAAGATATATCAGGTTGTGTAATAGTGAGATAATTTAAACTACCCACTAACTTGCTATATTGAGAGGGATTAGGAAGAAGAGCACTTTCCTCCTTGCGATGTTTCAAATTCACCTCAAAAGGAGTATCAACCGAGTGACCATCCTGAAGTCCAACTAAAGTAATCAACTCCGCCGTATACTTATGTTGATGCATGTAAAGTTCCAACTGGACTTGAAAGCACCTCATGCCCTAAGAAATACTGAAATAGACCCAAATCCTTCATATGGAAAGAATCTTTCAGCCGATTTTGAAGTTAAGGTCGCCATGTAGCTATAGCTAGAATAGTTCGATTCGTTGTCATTTTGGCAACATGAGCAAATGTCTCCTCATAATCCACGCCATATTCTCGACGATTCCCAAGAGCTACCAATTGAGCTTTGTTTTGCTCTAGCAATCTATCCGAGCGGAACTTAAATAGAATACTCATTTACACCCAATAGGTTTGATGCTAAGAGGGTAAAGAACAATATCCCATGTGTGTCTCTCTTGAAGAGTTTGAAATTCCTCTTGCATATCTCTCCCAATAGTTCAGTAATAGCCTGAGAATAAGAAGTATGAACTGTGAAATGAGATAAGGTTGCATATAAACTATACCGATTAGGATGATGTGTAATGCGAGTGGAATGTCAAAAAGTAGTGGAGTCTGAGACATGAACATTATTAGGATCATGAACGGGAAAGGAAAGTAGAGTTGGAGGCCGTTGTCTTTAATATACTACTCAAGGTTTAAAATGCTCTATAGGACGTGAGCCATCCTAAAAGCTAGTGAGCGGAGCCAGATCAGAAGATAACATAACATGATGTTCGAAGTAACACTAATTCTCAAAGAAAATCACATTGCGAGAGATACAAAAACGATTAGCAACACCATCATAACAAACAAAACCCTTTTAAGCAATTATGTAACCTATGGAAGCACACCGTACAGATTGAACAGCAATCTTAAGACGTTCATGGGAGGCAAATGGACAAAGCAAACACAACAAAAAGTATGCAATATGTCATAGTCAGGATATGTATCGTATAGCCGAAAATAAGCTGATTCAAAATCCAAATACTTAGCAGGAGGTCGATTAATGAGATGTATGGCTATGGAGAGGGCTTTAACCCAAAATTTGGGCGGAAACAAGATTCCAAGAGCTAAACTCAGACGTCTAAGAAGTGACGGTTCTTTCTTTCCGCCACTCCGTTCTACTGAGGAGTATATGGACAAGAGCATTGATAGAGTATCGTTTTGTTGTAAAAAGGTCTGACACTAATGAGACATATTCCCCGACAACGAATTCGAATACTGGAAGAGAACTGTGTCTCAACGTAAGCTACAAAAGCCTTAAGAGTGGTACCGACCTCACTCTTAGAGCGGAGAAAATATATCCAAGTGTAATGACTAGAATTATCAATTAACGTCACAAAATACTTATAATGGGCATGTGAAGTGATGAGTTCCATGCCCCAAACGTCACAATGAATAATATCAAAGCATTTATCATCACGACTACCATGAGTTGAAAATGGAAGTGTCTTACTTTTCCTAATTTTATAAATATCACAATTGACAGAAAAATTGGGAAACTAAGACTTTTTTTTATTACCTAACAAACCACATATCAGCAAATGAGATAAAATTAAAGTATTGAGATGACCCAATTGTTTATGCCAAAGTTCATATGTAAGCCAAACACATTACAAGCCTAAAATATAGCAGTAGGAACAGTAAATTGTAATAGGAACAATTTTCTTACTTTAAGCCCCATTATGATTACCTTCTCCGATCCTTGATCCTGTACAAGACAACTAACACGAGAGGAACACATCAAAATTACGATCAACTAATTGACCGACTGAAATCAAGTAAGAAGATAAGCCCAAAGATTCAAAAACATTATTAAAAGAGTACTCAACATCACCACCAACAGCAATCAGAAGGGTACTACTAGCAATCTAAATGTGATGTACCAGTATAGCACCGAATGTTATACAAGGAGTCAGAACTGTCTGTCATATAATTTGATGCCCCTAAATCAACAAACCAAAGAGAAGAAATAACTTGACCCTTACCTTGTAAGCTCAAGACAGAGAAGACAGAAACAATCATCTGCTGGACCATTTCTGGGATAAGAACAGGTTGACGGGTGCTAGCTTGTGAAAGTCTTGGTGTAGTACCTTGAACATCAACTTGAAATGCTTTGGCTTTCCAATTTTAGGGTTGTGTGGTCCAGTCCTTGATTATATGCCTTGGTTGCTTACCGTGATTGCTGACTTTCTGAGGACAGTTATAAGTAATATGATCGTATCCTTTGCAGCAGAAACACCGAAATTTACCCTTTCTCCTTCATTGAACAACATATCCAATGGTGACCCCATCAAATGAGGATAAATAAACTCCAATATTAGCTTAGGTAACCACCCGTTGCTCACGCAAAAGTTCACCCAAGCACACATCCAAAGAAGGAATTGGATCGTGATTCAATAAACTCGCCCGAGTAACTTCAAATTCAGGTACTAATTTCATAAGAAACTGATTTCGCTTACTAATCTCTTAAACCTCTTGTAAAGCTATTAGAGCCGCCACAAGGGCCTTAGCACGAATTATGTCGGAGTACTCACTCTACAAGGTCAGAAAACTACAATAATTTTGCTCAATGGTAAGATTACATTTAGTGTAGTTGACAATCTCTAACTCCAATTGAAATCTCCGAGCATTGTTGTCTTGATAAAAGATTCGTTTTAAGTATTCACACATATCCTTAACAGTAGTAAAACGGCGTAAATTATTCACCACGTGCACCTCCATAGATCTGAAAATCTAAGAAATAATACAAGCAGCCTTCGTTTTCCAATCACTGGGATCCTTAGCTTCTTCGGACGCTTTAGAGGACCCATCAATATAACTCAAAGTTCCTTTCCTTTTAAAAACATTTTGAACTGATATTCCTAATTCTTTCTCGTAAACTTCATACAAAATGCTTCAACCGACATAGCTTGTAACTGTGAAAACCAAACTTACACTCAAAATCTCAACAGCCTACACCGGAGAATTAACAACCCACGGAGAAATAAGGCCCATGCAAATAAATGGGCCTCAAATAATAGAGCCCACACAATGAAGCAAACCAAAGATTGGGCCTCAAATAAAAAAGGCCCACACAACACAAGGAAACAGACCGTAGATAAGCCTATACAAAGGACACAATAGACACGTGTATCGCGACGATTGCACCAACATAATCGCCAATTATTCAACTCTGATAACCAAACTCATCCACGGTGAATCGATATTCACCGATGAAGAAGAAATTATACTCTCTCAAATCACATAGATCATACAAAGTTCGCGCAGTCACCCACCTAGCCTAGGCAGTCGCTCAGCCATCCACGCCCGAATCAGTCACCCACCGCGACATCCAATAGATTCGACACTCAATTCGCACAGATCACACAGAGTTTGTGTAGTTCGCGACGTCTCAAAATACTTACAGAAGGTTGCGTTCCCAACCAGCCAATGAAGTAGTTGATCAAAACTCTGATCAACCGAAAATCTCAAAGCAAGAATGACACATAAATCTTGAACACCCCCGAGTATAGAGAGGAGTCCAAGCAATGAACGTCAACTACACCAAAGGCAGAAACAGCCAAAAGATTTTGAAGATTCAACGATGGAGTTGAAAGGTAAGCTCTGATACTATGACAAAGTTTGGCTGAATGATTTTCCCTTGAGTAATTTCTTGCATTACATAGGAAGAAAAGTATACAACTAAGGTAGAGAATAATACAATAGGGTAACAACTATAGTAAATATAAATACCATATAAGGATGGAAATATAATCGTAATATAATCTCCGTCGATCTCATTGACAGTTAATCCTTGATTACCATGACCTTTGAAACCATGTGGAATTTTCCTTGCTCAATAATGCGACCCATGAAGTTTACAGACATGTGGAAGAGCACTTAAATGGTTTCGCATAATGTCCATCTCCCGTAGCTGGTTTATTGCACACGTTCCTCCAAAGTCTCGTTGTAAACTACGATGTCATCAAAGTACACTATCACAAAGTCATCCCAAAACTCGTAAAGTACTTGATTCATCATCATGCAGAACGTCGAATGAGCATTTGCCAAGCCAAAAGACATAACCTTGAATTCGAATGTTCCATTTCTGGTTACCACTGTAGTTTTTGCTTCATCCCCTTCCTTGATCCGAACTTGTGAGTATTCGAACTTTAGATTAATCTTTGTGTAATACTTGACCTTGCTTAGATAGTTGAAGCAATTCGCCAAAAGAGAAATGGGATATTTTTCTTCACAATGATCTTGTTCAGGACTTGATAATCACAACATATTCAGAGAGAACCCTTTGCCTTTTCTAAAATAACACGGGAACTCCGTATAATAATTATGTAGGCACGATAGTCCCAATTTTCAACATTTCTCCCAATTATTTTCTAAGCCCCTCAAGCTTAGATTGAGACATACACTAAGGTCCCCTAGCGAGAGGCTTAACACATAAACTAAGATCAATTTCATGATCAATTGCCTTCCCTAGCAACAAATAATTCATTTGACATGACATCGTCAAATTCCCAGATAAGCCTTTGATAGGTTTTGGAATACGACCACTCACCTCTTCGCTCTCCTCTAATTGAAAGGTGCAAAAAAATAAAGATTCATTTCTCTTAAAGCACTTGCTAAATTGTACGGTAGAGATGCCCTTCACATCCTTCCAGTCTATGGAGGGATGGACGGCTTACTCCTCATCATCATTAATGAATTGGAGTAGCACAACATTGCTATCTTTGTATCTTGAAAGAACTTCAATCCTAAAACAAGTTTGAAGTCATCCATCAAACTGCAGACAAATTAGTCCACCAGCCTTAAATTAATACATATCTAACACACTAGCAATTGGTTGAGCGCCTGAGTTGATTGCCTTGACTTTCCCATACCTTTTTCCAAAACAAAGTCCAAGATGCTCAACTTCGGTACTTGCAAGATAGTAGAGTAGTACCAGTATATACTATAGCCTTTATTAGCTTCCCAATGATTTCCACGTCGATATACATTAAGCCATTGGCCTTGCAAATATAGGGTTCCTGCTCTTCCTCTTTTACCTCCTTCAAGAGAACATCATATTATTCAGTTATGTAGTGCGATATTATGTTGCATCGATCTGAGAATGAACCAACCACATTATCATCCTCTTTGGAGTCGTTCTCGCAGTGAGTGCTAGGTTGTGAGCATCCTGCTTTGAACTCGACACTTCACTTGCTAGTTAATAATATTTATTTACGAATCATCTCTACGAACAATCAATGAGGTCCTTCGTATAGAAAGCACAAAATTTTAAGATTAATATCAGATCTACCTTCATTGTCTTTTCTTTATTCCAATTGTTATGATGGCTACCCTAATAATTGCCCTGACGACTAACCTAATGATTGCCCTAAAAGTTTCTCTAACGGGTACCTTGACAACCTCCTCCTTTATGGTAGGAGTAGCATTCTCTCCTATTTGAGCTCGACCAGGGCTTGAAAGGTCTATTTCCTCCCCCGTTAGATTAGCTATTCCCTTGTGGCTAATCTTTTCTAGGTTCAAGTTGATAGTCCATAAACATTCGACGACGACTACCATTGCCACACTGAAATCAACTATCTTCTGTCTTTGAAGTTTCCTGCTTGTCTACGGTATCAACCCTTTTATGAATGTGAAGAGCTTATCCTTTTCTGACATGTCTCAAATGTTAAACATGTACCATGAAAAGGTAATCACACACTTCTTGTTGGAGCCCCTATGTTTCAGTTTTTATAGTGTCCATCGGGCCCTCATATTCCACATTTTTTTGAGAAAACTTGTGATCTAATCACCTCTTTGAGAAGATCCCAAAAGTCGATTCAGATCCTGTTGACCTAAATATCGGCATTTTTTTTCACCACCATAGTTTTGCATCTTCACTTAGATATATGATAGTTATTGTCACCTTTCTTGCTTCGTCTTCAATGGTAGCCGCAAGAAAGTATTGTTCCATGTTAAGCAAGAACTTCTCGACTTTCTTTTGCATCACGTGCCCCTTCATATATGCACGATCTTCGGGATTCTGAGCCTAGGTGCATACTCTTGTGCGAGAGCTCACCCACTGGCAATTGCATGTTGGAGAACTCACAACTAAAGTCTCAATGTTCTCATTTCTCCCTGTAGATCAGGAATGATTGCAACACTGTGCAACCACCTCAAACATTTTGAAATAAACTATTATAATTGAAAGGAAATTATGACTAATAATTTTTACAAAGTACAATCGAAGTTGGGGTAAACTGAGACTACGAGTGGGTCAAGGGTTAAATCTAGTTGCGGTCCTTGACACCTTGGCTTGGTTAAGTTCTTCAATTGTGCTTCTCTTGTACACAATGTTGAGTTTATATCAACTTCGTATACACTGCTTCTCTTTATGATATCTGATATTGATATCTAGATTCTCCCGGCATTATGTTGCTAAGTGCATGTAAATTTAGTATTAAACCAAGCTGGAGAAGAAAATGAATAATATTTTAACTTCTTTTTATTCATTAATATTGTACACTTTTAAATTTTCTTTACCGAAAACATGAAATATAACAATAGTGTGGTTGTATTTTGGAAACTTGGCCTACAAATATCAATTTGACATTGTCATTTACATTCTCATACTTCTACGTGTTGAACTTGTCTTTGTTAAGCTCTTCTATTGTGCCTGTCCTTTTACCGACGTCAAAATTTTTAATGACTTTTCTTATGCTTCTTCTTTACATATTATCCGATTATGATATCTCTATTCTTCAGGTACTATGACATTATATGTGTGTATTGTTGAAGTGGTTGATGTTGTATATAGAGGTGGGAGAGGTGAGCTGGACATCAGCAGGCTGTTCGGGAAAGCTAATCTTGTCAAAGCTTCTCTCCTCCAATTGTTTTGCTATGGAACCTTTTTCTTCCTAATGGCATGCTAGTCGAGCCTCGATTCCTGTTGATAACTATACCTTGTTAACTATTGGTGCTTACAGTGATGTTCTTGTAAACCATTTATACAGTGTGTATGACATTCAGAACATATTATTTGAGCGAGACGCTTTAACATTTGACACTAATTATTTATCAATTATCCTTGTGTTTACTTATTAATTTGTTTATTATTCATTGTTAGACATGATTTTAGTTTCTGTTTGTTTGTCAATGTTATCCAATTCCTGTCAGCCACATACGCCATTGTCGTGCCAAAAGTTATCATTTCTGTTATTCTTGAACACGACTAGGCACACACCTAGGCGAGCCAAAGGCAATATAGTGTGCGCACAAAGGCAGCAACATGGACATATTAAAAAAGAAAAACGAAAACCATCCATTCTCGTTGTATCGATGGGGTCGGTCATTTATATGGCTACAATGACATGATGTGCAAGCACTCTGTTCAACCATCATTGGCTTTCTTTCCATCTTTACAGTTAGTTATTACCTAAATATTTCTTAAGATCAGAGTCTAGTGGAGTGTCAACTAGGTTGTGATGATATTGGATAGTTTTTCTTTTTTGGAAACACATGTGATTCAATTATGTCATGTCATCGGCAATGACCTATGAAAAAAAGTAGCTAAGCAAACAAAAGAAGTTGTAGGCTATATGTGTAACACATTTAAGTTGAACTATAACTATCAATGCGTTCTTCAGATTCCCACACGTAAGTTATACGTCATAGATAGAAGACTCGCTATTGAAAAATCCCGTACCACGCACTTTATTCCCCTATTTTTTGAGATCTCCAGGAATCCTCAGTATTCTTGTTCGTTGAATTCCACCCAACATTCTTTCATTGTCCTCAACCCATCACTGCGTCAGAGGCAATTCATATGGACATGGACAATCTTTGACCCGACATGGCATCAGGGGCGGACGGGAGGGGGGTCCGGGGGGGGGGGGGGTCCAGGACCCCCCCGATTTTTTGAAAAAAAATTTTTTTTTTATTTTTTTTTAAAAATTTTTTGGCCTCGAATTTTTTTTTTTTTAATCTTCTAAGTTGTATTGTTTATCAATTATGAATGAAAGAGTTTCCTTAATTCTCAGGCTCAGTGATGGAGAANATTGTTTATCAATTATGAGTGAAAGAGTTTCATTAATCCTCAGGCTCAGTGATGGAGAAGTATTTCAAAATACTAGTAGTTTCTTTTATATGTTTCTTATTTTTTTGTGAAGTCTTCGTACATTAATTTATGTTCATTTGTTTCATTTCTCCATCACAAAGTACCAACTTTCCTCATTTTAACAGATAATGTTTCAAATGTGAAGAAAAGGGTCGTTGATTGCTACTAAGAACCTAACAGTATGTGCGAATTTACTCGAATTTCTTCATAGTCAGGCGAAGTAGAAAATCTTCTCTCAAAAAGAAACTGATATGAGATGAGAGAGGCGGCTATTCGATTAAAAAATATAGGATGATCAAAACGGCTTCATCCAAAAATTGATGGAATACAATCAATCCAGTTATAAGACAGTGGGGTATAGTAATAACAAAATGAGCAAGCCCATGAACCTTCTTGTTCCCAAACGAGGTACGTAGCAACACAATCCAGAGATAATAACTAAAAGAGCTGAGATATCCTATAAAACACTAGCATTAGATGCCAAAAAAGGAACTTGGTATAGGCTGTAAACCACCCTCTCAGCATCAGACTCCACTGCTGTGAATGGTTAATAAATTAGTGAAATGGGGCCAAACTCATATATTAAAAGGATCAAACATATTCTCGTTCTACTCCCTGAGGTGATTAGTGTGATATATTTATTAATTGAAAATCATTTAGAATTGAATGAAATATTTAATGTCAAGTTACCCACTTGAAAGTAAAAAATGAAGATTTTGATTAGATTTCTTGAACTTATCCCACATAGAAAACCTTGAAAACTTGTGTGATTTATATTGAAAGTTTGACAACTATATGTGGGCCCCAAAAGATATCAATATCTTTGAAAGGGATTGTGTTCGATCATAAGTCGCACGAGCATGAGCACAAGCTCGAGTCTGTGTTCGAATTCAAGTCCAGTTCGATTCATGTACAAGTACAGATATGGATGGGTCCTTGTCTCCTTTTAAACAAAATTTATTTAAATTTTTGGGCCAAATTGTAATTATCAAATTATTGGGTACTTAGTGAAAATATTTTTAACAATATTTTAAATTTCTACCGTTGGCTCGTTTCTGAGTATTCTTCTTATGTGACGGTCTTAGAGCTTTTGTGATTGACGTCTGTTAACCAACATAACAGACATCTATTTATAGACCTAAACAGACGCAGAGTATGATTTTCTAAGTGTGTGTGATTGACGTCTATTTTTCTATAACAACAATCTATTAACCTATGTAACAGAAGTCTATTAATAAAGACGTGTCCTCATTTTTTGGAGGACTATTTGAACAGTCACCACTGTTCAAAAAAGGCCCGTAGAATATTCTAACGACCAAGAATATGTTTATAGATAGCCTGCCCTGATGCCATAAAGTTTTCACTATTTTCATGACAAATATTTTCTGCTTTAAATCTTATTTTCCTCTCCAAATTCTGATATTATTTTTTAGTACGAAAACATTTATTGAGTTCGTTAGAACTCCTACTGATGTTGTGTTGCTTCCGTTCCCACAAAATTCATTCTATCTTGAGAGACGATTGTTGAACCACTTGAAGCACCATGGAAGGGAGGGGAAATTGTCTTAATGACACATAGTTAAGTTGGTGGACTCAAATTAATATTCTGATCATGTTGATCTAGAGGTGTCAATCCGGGTGGTCCGGGCCGGGTCGACCCGCCAACATGTGAGCCCGGTAACGGCCCGCGCGAAAAAAAGCCCGCCCGCTGCGGGTTCTTGGCCGGTTACGGGTCGGCCCACAATTTTGGACTACAACCCAGGCCCGCCCGCTGACCCATCCGAGTCGAGCCCATGCGGGTCACGGGTCTCGCGGGTCGCGGTTCGTTCTGGTTTGGCCCGTATGATTGTATAAATAAAATTATAAAAATATAGAATTTTTCATATTTATA